AATTAAGATTGCTTACGGTATAACGCGCTCGCCACACTGGCGATGACATTGTTATAATTTTCTCTGCACGCCGTGGATTATTCACATCGAAGTACTTCACTGTACCATCTTGACTAGCGGTAGCCAAGCAAGTTTCACGCAAATGACTCCAATTAATGCCATGCACTCTATAAGCAAAATGATTTAATATTATTTAATATGTCTTTATTTCGTCAAAATACCTGTTCAAATGCGCTGTGATATAGTGTACAGGACACGAACCCTTACGCATATCCCATATGCGAAGATCGCCGTCATGTGCCGCCGCTAATAGATGACCCGAAACACGATTGAAACCAACTTGTGTTGCGCCAGCTGCAATTGAATGAAAGATTTTTTTGGTTTAATACACTTTGCATAATATAAACTGAAGACATACAAATTATTTTATAAAGTATTGCACTTACACATGCAGACTGCGCTCAAGGACAGCGTTGGCTTGCGGGGATCGCGCAAATCCCAAATGTGTGAAAATGTATCAATTGAACAGCTGACCAGTAGGTTGCTATTTTTGCTATGCCAGTCAATATCGGTAACCATACGTGTGTGACCACGCAATGAATGATAATGCTGCATATCTGCAGCTCCCCATGTAACAACATCAATGTGTTCACTGGTCTAACAAAGCAATATAAATAATAATAATGATAAAACATTACCGTTTTATTATTGTCAATTTACTAATTATTAGAACTCACTGCGATCGCACAATATTCCTGACGATTTGGTAGTGTTGCAAATTCAGCTGCAGATACTTCATATTTCGAATTTCTTTGAAATTCACGTAGCGTACCATCATCCTGGCCGAGACGTTGCAATGCCAAGTGGCGTCGACCGGCCAACAAAACCCACTGGCCTGTATAGTCGACAGACATTGCAGTTGCCTGCAGTTCCCGGTGTTCATAACACTTGTTGCTCTGCTGGATAATATGTGCATTTTCACGCTCGCGGCCACGGGTACTGTTGCCACCCGCCGCTGCAGATTCCGAAGTTGGTGACATATTTTTGTTGTAGGAAATATACTAGTAACTTTAAACGGAAACGAATAGTGATCCTTAAGGTGTTTTACAAAAAAATGCAAGCTAAGAAGACTGTGTATTACATTATAGTATGAACAAAATTGTACGCATCTATAAGTGTTGCAACGCTTTATTGTAATTCTATACAATCAAAACATTCAAAAATTTGTCAAAACGACCTAACTAGACAACAAAACAAAATAGAGAAATTAACTTGTTTATTTTATCAGCGTTAAACTAAATATGAGAGAATCTTATCAATTTCAGCGATATAATAAATATATCGATATAAAAAATTTCACTGTTATTTCCCCTTTATAAAAATCTTGTAGCAAATGACTGGCACTAATTCAAAGTAGTTGGCAGCTCGAAATGCACGTGTAGTGGGTTATAGTTGTTTACATATTCATTAATTACAATTTATCTTATTTACAAAATGTTTAAGTTCGATTTTAAGGTTGAAGCAGATAGCAACAATCCATTCTTTGATAAAAATATTGCGAACGAAAAGGAAATATTAAACACGTCAAAGTAAAAAAACATTATTTTAATATTATAAAATATTTTAACATTATTCTTCTAGGAAGACTGATAAAACAGAATGGTATAAAGCGGAAAAAATTGCAATTGGTGTTGATATATTGGATAACCTAGATGTATATAAGTTGAATGCTACCACTTTGAATATAGCTGATGTTCCAGTTCAGCATATCGTCACAGGATTTCTGATTGAACATATAACATGTAATGACAGTGATAATAAGGACATTGCTAAAGCCGAACAAACGCACTCTGATCTCATATCAGGTGTTTATGAAGGTATTTAGAATATTATAAATACACTGTATACAATTATAATGCGTGTTAACTTGACAGGCGGTGCAAAAATATGGGAGTGTACCGATGACCTGCTTCAATATTTAGCCAAAACTATCAAACCGCAAAATTGGCATGGAAAACGTGTGTTAGATCTGGGCTGTGGTGCTGGTTTACTGGGTATTTACGCGTATAGATGTGGCGCAGTAGTGCACTTTCAGGATTATGTAAGTGGCGTTAGCAAATATACATTTATAAGTTAAAAATAATAATTTTCAACTTCCTCTTCAGAATAAAGATGTACTATCACAAATTACAATACCAAATGTTATGTTAAATGTGGAAACCCAATCAAAAGCTGTGGATGCTGGGTCTGCTGCTGTAGAAACAGAAATAGAGAAGAATTTTAACATTGAATCACTGGAAGGGAATCTACAATTTTATTCCGGCGATTGGTGGGAGTACGTGGAACTGACGACAAAAAATGACGATGACAAAACAAATAAGTTTGATTATATTCTTACATCGGAGACTATATACAATCCGCAAAATCAACAAAAATTATTAGATACATTCTATGCAAAATTAAATACTAACGGTGTTGTGTTAGTCGCAGCAAAAACCTATTATTTCGGTGTTGGTGGAGGGCTGAGGCAATTCGAAGAACTGATAACTTCTGAAAAGCGTTTTCAATTTAAAGTGGTCTGGTCAAGTGTGGACGGAGTAAAACGAGAAATATTAGAATTAAGATTAAAGTAATTGTTGGATTTCAAAAAATAAGAAATTCCAGAAAATCGATTGTGTTGCTAGAATTATAAGCGTGTTGCCGCCTGGTAAATATGTTGAAAATATAATAGATATTTGACAATAAGAACTTTATTTTGAATTTTAATTATTACATGTTTAGTATTTAAAGAGCGTATTTTTATATTCATGAACATAAAATTCAGGTATTTTAGAGCATCACTTTGAAATATGCAATTATATCTTCGTAAACTTTCGGCGTCGGTCCAGCAAATACCACATCATATTCGCAATTTAATTCGATAAACAACATGGGTTCTGCTTTGATTGATGGCAATAGAGCAATTTTTGGTGCTATTTTTAATGATTCCAGTACATCCAATGCTTGATCTTGCACCGAATCGTAACTAGATCTGAGTATCTTATTCGCTGCTTCTTTCAATTCTGGATAGAATTTTCTGAAATAGTTATGTCGATCACAAATTAGCACACCTCGTATATCACCAGTACCGGATTCGGTAAGCTCGCGATAAGTTTTAAATTTTTTATAACGCTCTGACTCAATGTCTTCTTGGGCATTTTGAAGTGTAGCTATTTGCATACTTTGCTCAAGCTTATTCACATCCTATTAAGTAAATACATAACAAAAAACTAATAAATATCTCTTTATCAATTAATATATAATACTTGTGTTATATTGCATACTCACATCAACAACGGCAAGTAGCATTTCATAAGCGGCTTTTTGGCGTGCGTCCTTTTTCTTTTCCGATACGCCATAACGACGAATTGAAGCAATTGTACATAGAGCGGTGAATTCAGGTGCATCCGGTGTACCAGCCTGCTGTACTATTTCGAATGTTGGCAAAGGCATACTCTGTTGCACACAATAATCGCGCAATTGCACAACCATATCAATAGGTGGTATGCTTGCCGCACCATCATCCGCTAATTGCGATGCATCTGCAAGGCGCAGTTTTTTTATAATAACAGCGGCTGCATTATGTTTTGCATCACGCTTAGAACGTCCTATACCCACAGCGTCAGTTTCCATGAATTCAATCTGGAGATTATTATACAATTAGCTGCTTATTTAGTAAATAGATATTCACATTTCCAAATATTACCTTGCAGCAGAAACTACCGTCGTCTTCGTCTAGATATTCATAAGTAGGTGGTGGTACTTTGTTTTTAGCACAATATTCCTGAAGCACTGAAACAGATGACTTGCCAACCATTGTTAAACTTTTCTTTTAGGTATTGAACCGCTTCGTATCCTTCCTTTGAATACTTTAATTTCGCGGTTTAAAATAAATTACCTTATATTTTAACGTTTGACTTTATCTAAATAAATATTGTTGATTCAAAATACGAGATACGTAATCGACTAAAATCGATTACAAATATTGATTTGATGCAGTAACTTCAGTTCGATTTTAAATATTATATATATATTTATATATAAAGCATATTTAAAGAAAAATAATTTTTAAAAAATTGAAATGAAAGTAATGTTCTATATTCTAATTTTTTAAATCATAAAATTGCTTAAACAAAAAATGAGTTTTCAAGCAAATACATTCAGCATTACTATTATAATTAGACATGCACGTATGTAATCTCTAATTATCAAAATTTTTCTTTCAATTCGGGGAAGTCCCTTTTTACGGCAATATTACGATTCTTTCGGCACTGCGATTTGATGGTACGGTATATATATATATATATATATATACATATACTATCCTCAGACTCATAGTTTTCGAGATATTTCACTTTACAGATTCAAAAAATTACACTGTACACATTCGTATGTATCAAAAACTTACATTAATTGTATATTTTTTAAGAAAATAAATATACTTTAAAAACTATTTTGCACATTTAAAGTTTCAAGAGATTTAAGTGTTTACATTTATGACAAATAGCAGTGTTGCCATACTTTGTGCTCTGAAAATATATTCAAAAATCTATTTCATATTTAGAGATATACATAAATGAAAAAACTTATTATAAAATGTAAAGTTTTTCAGTATTTCTCTCCTTTTGATTAATATAGGTTTTCGATCGATGAGGGTTATTTTTTTTTGAAGCGCGACCAGGCAGTAGTTCGGCACAAAAGAATGATCCTCCCGGTGTTGGACCGATCAGGGTTATTTTTTTTAAGCGCGCCGAAGGCCGCCAGTGCATAAAGTAATTCGACATACGGGAATATTATTTTTTATCTTTATTTATGACATAACATAAGATACAAAAACCATTTGTACCATTCTCTATATGTTAAACAGAAAATTGTTTAATAGTTTTTTCAACACACAATATGTGGCAACACTAGTATTTGTTATGACATGTAAAAAAAAAAAACAAAATAAGAGTGAATTGCATATAAATTGTGGAACTTTAAAGTGAAATATCTCGAAAACTATGTGTCTAAGGACGGTATATGTGTATACATTTTTTAATCCTGAGGACCTCCTCTATCCATCCGTACCATCAAATCGCGTCGCCGAAAAAGTCGTAATCGTGCCCTTTTCACAATAGGGGTATTCAGACCAGCCTTGTTAAATCGTTAGTCGTTATTCGGTAGTTTTTTACATGTATTTTGTTCTACCGAGTAACGAACTATTCATCTGGCAAGTTTGTTAATTGTTTCGTTACTCGGTAATATCACATCAGCTGTTTCTTGTTCGTTACTTTGTAAATTTTTAACGGAAAAGTAAGTCTGGGGTTCGTTGGGGCTCTATACATTTTTAAAAGGGAAAATAAATTGGTGCTCACTTCTTGAATTAGGAAAATTTTTTGCAAAAGTAAGTACTATATCTTCAACAAATAGTTTTTTATTTCATTAAATACTTCTTTTCAGTGAAACCTCGAAAGAAAAAAAGGCAGGAGAGCAAAGCCTCAAAAAAAGTGGAGTGGAAAAGAAAACCATTTGGTTCTAGAATATTTACTAGAAAATGTGGAAATTGAGGTAATTCTTTATACAATTAGCTTTAACTAAACACTTTAATACGTATTTTTATAGAAACCAAACGTCCAATTGTACTACCAAGAATTAATTGAAACAACAAATATCGATGCGACTATGGATGAATATATATATCGATGAACATGTTGCGCTGCAAGGTTCGGTACTGGAAGCAGATGTATAATAAACCGGTATAATAAGCGGCGCAAATCGAAAGGTGCTGGAATAGACGTTGGCGATGAAGTTTCCTCAATAAAAGGTAAACGCGGTTTGTTAAGAGAACATTTTTTGGTTTTTTAATAATTCTCCGTTCTTTCAACAAAACTTTCACAATTGTGTCCGAATTATGAACGGTTTTTGGTTCTATTTGGGAGTAAATCCGAAGCCAATTGTGTTGTAGAGTTTGTTTTGTATAATAATTTTTAAGAATGTACAAGTGTATCAAGATGTGATATCCTGAAGTGATACAACTTGTTATATGTATATAAAAATGAAAAATTAATTTTTGATTTAATTATAACTTTTAAACAGTATTTGGAAACATAAGATGATATAACGATTGTCTTTTTAATTCAAAGCTATTTCAGATCATTTCTTCCACTTCTTCTTCGTATATGTCTTCATTTGTACTCTCGTTTAAATAAGAATTTATTTTCACTGTTATCAAGTAGTATATTGTGAAGAATGCAGCATACTAGTATCCATTTGTTACAGTATTTTTGGCTACTTTTATTTCGAATCTTGAGCTCTTTTGATTGCAAAATCGCTCTTTTAATAAGCCGAAACAGTGTTCAATTCTTACACGGTATTTTGAATGCTGTTTGTTGAATTTTTTTCTTTTAGGTAGTTAAAAATTTTGAGAGTTGCTTCTGTAAGGCGTTATAATAATGTTACTGAGGGGGTAAGCAGAGTCTCCAGAAATCCACTCCTGTCCGGAAAAGAGTCTTGGCTGATATTTGTTTAGTGAACAGTTTTTAAATATTCTCGCATCGTGAGTAGAGCCACTGTAGCCAACGACAACATCGTGAATTTTGAGCTTGTAGCCTCAAACCATTTGAGCTTTAATTGCATATATATGATTTCTGAAAAAGAACGCTTCGTGACTTTTTATTGGGGAACGTTTCTCGTACTATTAAAGAGCGCTCAGTATCATCTAGCCAATATATAATATATATAAATGGAGTTGTTTTAAGAATGCCTTGAATACTTTGCGAGCAATATATGTTAACGTTCTTCCGTCACTAATCCCTAAAGTTGATGCAATTTTTCGTATCGATGCACTTTCTCCAGAAGAGCCCAATCTATAAAGAACGACAGCTAGCTGTATATCAATCGGGAATTGCTTGCCACTACATTTTTTAAAAACATCGTCACTTGATATGAGGGTCAATAAGTGAGTAAATTGAGTTCGGTCTACACACAGCTCTTGACGGAACCGATTGTCATCCATTATGGTTAAAATATCATCACACCACTGAATTGACTTTGAAACAATATTTTCTACACCTCTACGACAGTTTACTGTGATGAGGAAATCATAATACACCTCGTCAATGGTATGCTCTACTAAATCTTCATCTTCACTGAATATGTCTTGAAATAATTTGAAAGTTACTTCCATGCTTCTCTGTACATCAATTTTAAGTACTTACCAGTAATAAATTTGATCTGCTCCACACAATTTTCAATTAAATGACTGACAATTTTAGATTTTGCACTTTGTTGAGACATTTTTATTCTTTAATAAAATTTAATGAGCTGTTTCGAAATAAAATTTACTATACTACAGAGATAGAGCAAAAAGTATGTTCACAGTTAGACCTTTTAACGTTGATACTTCGGTATGAATTACCAAATTAACAGGTTTCGGTCTGAATACCCCTAATTCTATTTGATATTTTAATAAAATTTACGCATTTTACAGCATCACTTTGAAATATGCAATTATATCTTCGTATACTTGAGGCGTCGGTCCAGCAAATACCACATCATATTCGCAATTCAATTCGATAAACAACATGGGTTCTGCATTGATTGATGACATATGAGAAATTTTTGGTGTGATTTTTAAGGAGTCCAGTAGATCCAACGCTTGATCCTGCAGTGAATCGTTACAAAATCTGAGTATCTTATTCGCTGCTTCTTTCAATCCAGGATAGAATCTTCTGA